TACACGCACACCCACACCCACACCCACACCCACACCCCACACCCACACCCACACCCACCCACACCCACACCCACACCCCACACCCACACCCCACACCCACACCCCACCCACACCCAGATAACTATCGCTCTAATCTCATTTTCATTCGATCTAAAAGGACTCTTCTCTGTTTCTCTTATCTCACCGACATTATTGTGTCGTCTTGCATAGCTATATATATATTGGAATAATCAGTGTGTCTAGGTACCGCTCCTTAGTTTCTTTCTATTCTCAGTTGAAAGACTAATCATTTGCGCACCACATTGTTATTTTCATCATTTCTTCACCAAATTTTAAATTTCAGCCGCTGATGTTGTCTAATATGAAATTATCTAGTGTCTTAAAAACTCATTTCGGAAACTAAATAATTTCATATAAGACACGTCGCAGTGCAATGTTTAAAAACAATTAGACGGAAACAAAAACAATAACCATCAACAGAAATTGTTCCATATATAATGTACAAATTTCTTTCATGTAACTGTAGTGTTGAAAATGACCCTTTCATAGTGATCTAAAGCTTCAGTTTATATTTTTGTGAAATAAATAAATGATTGATGAATTAGTTTATCTCGCAATTACTTTATTCACTTATATTTCATCAAACAACGTTAAGAATCTTTTAGTTTGAATGTTTAATAAATACACACTAATTCAAACAAAAATCGTAAATTTTTTCCGACAGAATTATGATAATCTACTGTACAAAGATTGTTTTAATTCTAAGAAGACGACAGTTCGAAAAAACTACACTATGCATTGGTGAATGCCATAGTTTTATTAACGTTGGTTTAACCGAATCGAATAAAGTTTTCAAAAAATTAGTTGCATCGTATCTAATTACTTTTTTTGTGTTTTTTTAGGCGAATCTAGAGGTGTAAGCGGATGAGTTGGACAGCGGCGCAGATTTGAATTCCCAAGGCTGCACGGCGGCGACGGCTTAAAAGTTGTTTTTTTCCTACCATCAACGACGGCGGCGGCTTGAGGTTTAGAAAGAATGCTATAACGGTCTGTTGAAAAGTTTTTGGACAACATGCCTGTTCAATTTAGACTCCTCTGAAAATATTCTAGTCTAGTGAAGAACTAGTGATTTGGGTCAGAATTTTCTGCGGTTTCTAGGTATGAGTTCAATTTCTGTACCTATTTTCGCTCGAGAGCAGTGAAGAGATCTTTCAAGGAGCTGACAAAAAATGATTTGGACGAATTTTTTTTCGCACGTTTTCCTATCCTTGATTCTGATATTCAAAACTTAATGGTGAATCTTCTTTTCACATATTAGCTTGTAGAGTAGAGTTTGTTTCTACAAAATATGACATTTCATTTAGTGTCTTTTTAGCGAAATGTTTACATTTTTTTCAGTTGCATATTTGAAAAATCAATTTTTTCAGCAGGATTCGATTCTGAGGGGAAAATGATTAAAAAGTTGTCGATGTTCAAGAACGTTGTCGGCGGCGGCGACTCGAAAATTTAAAACTCCGAATGCTCTCGGCGGCGCGGCGGCGGCTCAGCCGCACGGCTTATACCTCCAGGCGAATCGATTCGAATAAATGCTTCAAAAAAGAAGTCGAATCGAATTCAATGGCATTTTTGTAATTCGTTTCGGTCTCTGATACTGACACCTACATTCACGCTTACATCATATACGCTACACCGACATCCACACCCAGATTTTAATTCACCAATCGTCATTTACTTTGGTCTACCTTTATAAAATTTCACTATTTCCTTAAAAAATCCATTCCTTAATCGTAAAGACTTGTTGCAAAATTTCTAAAAACTGACCCAGGTTTTGATCCTTCTACCTCGATTTACTTATAGAACGATCTCTCGAACATTGCTTGTGAATTTTTTTTTGAACGCGGCAACCAAGCGGACTGGCCAACGCATTTTGATGTTTTTTCGTATCACTCTCCATTTAGTCGAGAGAATCATCTACTTTGACATACTATATGATGCTGTTACTTAATTCATCAATCAAATAGAACAAAACTCAACACAAAGTTGGAACGAATAGTTGCCTAAAAAATGGAAGAAGCATCTACTACAACCGAACATATATGAAATAAATATCAGATTGCCATATTATTTCAGAGCAATCACTTGAACTACAATAAAAATTTTTCAAAAAATTTCCATTCGATTTGAAAACATTTACTTTTTTGGTTCTCCATACAAATGCTTATTACTGGAGAAGATTTTCTCAAAGAACCGAAATACAAAAAGTTCTTGGCATAATGGTTAGTGTAGCCATTTTACACCTATATCGACGCTAAATTTCGTGTATGAATTAAGATGCTCCACTTCCACTGTTACTTGATAGTTTTCTTTGTTTAGTTTGAGTAGCATGCTAATTCTCATATTAAACCTAATTTAAATCGACGATTTATTTTAAAAACCTGTAGAATAATATAAAGGACTCTAATTGAGGAAGTTAAAAATAATCAATGATATATTATTTAGTCAATTGAAAATGAATAAAATTCAGCTCTAGACTAAGTCATGTTTTAAAAAATAAAAGTCTTCAAATTATATTGAACTTCTGAACACGAGCGTTGCCTGAGTCGACAACATAAAGATTTCCTTGATTATCAAATGCAATACCATTAGGCGAACATAATTGATTAGCTTGTTTTCCCTCACCATTACCACCTACAATGACTTCACCTTGTACAGCATCTTTCAACCAACGTACAACACGGGCGTTTTCATAATCAACTGCGTAGAGAGTACCAAAGTTGTCTACGAAAATTCCTCGAGGATAATGTATTTGTGAAAGACTGCCACCAGCTCCTTGACCACCAGCTACGACTATTCCTTCTGTAGCACCATCTGTCCATTTCATGACCCGATGATTATCTTCATCAGAAACGTATACTGAATAATCTTGATCAACAAAAACACGATAGGGACTATTCAATTGATTGAGACCGTCACCTTTTCCATTTCCACCAGCAACTATTGTTCCTTCACTATCTCCAACATCATATCGTACTACTTCATCTCTTGCATTGTCAGTAACGTAGATAGAATTATTTTCATCTATAGCCAGACCCTTGCAATCGATATCTGTAGCAATTATTTCATGTACTGTATCGACTCCAAGAATCCATCGAACCACTCGTTGGTTATTACAGTCGGCAATAATAAAATTGTTATTTCTTTGGTCAAAAATCACATCTGATGGACCAGCCAACTTATTTGATCCTTCAACGAAGTCATCGCCACCGAAAGCTAATACACCTTCTTTTGCACCTACTTTCCACTCAACAATACGATTATTGACTGAGTCCACAACAAAAACATTTTGATTTTCATCGACACAAATGCCCAAAGGTGCCCAAACTTGATTAAGATCACTACCATTACCATGGCCAGCGCCAACAGTGACACCATTCTGTTCCCACCGGGAGTCTGGATTAAGAACATCAGAGCTTAGCGGTACTAAAAAGAGAAACAGGGTGTGGGTGTGAGTGTCGATGTGGGTGTAGGTGTGGGTATGGATGTGGGTGTGGGTGTGAGTATGGGTGTGGGTGTTGGTGTGGGTGTGGGTGTGGGTGTGTGGGTGTAGGGTGTGGGTGTAAATGCGGCTTTTGTGTTGTTAATCAATAACATCCACATCGACACCCACACCCACCAACACCCACACCCACACCCACGATCCCCGGTTACACCGATCAACCGGTGAAACGATCCCAGGTTACACCGATCAACCCGTGAAACGATGCCCGGCTATACCGATCAACCGGTGAAACGATGCCCGGCTATACCGATCAACCGGTGAAACGATGCCCGGTTACACCGATCAACCGGTGAAACGATGCCCGGTTACACCGATCAACCGGTGAAACGATCCCCAGTTACACCGATCAACCGGTGAAACATTAGAACTCACCTTCAGGGTCCTGAAAGCTAACTATACGGGGTACCCTTGGGTCCTCAAGGCCTACTATGGGGGGTACCCTTGGGTCCTCAAAGCCTACTATAGGGGATATCCTTGGGTCCTCAAGGCCTACTATAGGGAGGTACCCTTCGGGCCTCAAGGTGTACTATAGGGGGATACCCTGTAGTCCCTAGCATCTACTATAGGGGGTATCCTTGGGTACTCAAAGTCTGCTACACGGGGTTACCCTTGGGTTCTCAAGGTCTACTATAGGGAGTACCTTTGGGTCCTCATGGCCTACTATTCATGGTACCCATGGATCCTCCAGTTTCACTGTTCATGGATACCCTTCGGTCCTCAAGTCCTACTATAGGGGCACCCTTCGGTCGCAGAGTCCTGCTTGTTAAGGAGTATCCGTCTGCCCTAAAGTTCTACTATAGGGATACCCTTAGGGCATCCAGCCCTACTAATGGCCAGTCGCGACGCCTCCTCT